TCCCAGAGGCTGGCCTCCGCTTCCCCCCTCCCCCCCATCACTGTCTGATGACCTTGGGGAGTCCGCCCTCCCCTCGAGCCCTCCCTCGGCTCAGCCTCATGCCGCCTCCCTTTGTCTCTGCAGAGTCTCCTGGCAGACGGCCTTGGCCTCGGCTGGCCCTGAGCGGTGGAGCCCAGGGATGAGCGTGCCCAGGGCAGGTGAGTGTGCCCGGCTTCCGTCCGACCCCGCGGGGCTACAGTGCGTCTCGTCTCGGCAGTGGGCAGAGGCTCCTCCCCACCCCCCACCCCCCGGTTTGCTTCCCGTGGGAAAGCGGAGGCCCCCAGGCAGCACAGCAGAGCCCTGGCTGGAGGGGGCTGAGCCCAGCTGCCAGCCAGAGCCGGGTCGCCCAATGGCCAGTCCTGGCACCATGGGCCCTCGCCCTCTGTGTGCCACCACGAGCCCCGAGTTTCCTCAGCTCCCCGAGAAAAGGTCAGTTCATTTTTATTTTTCTTAAAGAGGAACCACATCTGGCCGTACTCAGGGGTTCCTCCTGGCTCTCTGCTTGGGGATCACTCCTGGCAGGCTTGGGATGCCGGGGATTGAACCCAAGTGAGCTGTACGTGATGAACGCACCCTCTACGCAGCTCTGTCACCTATCCGGCCCAAGGAGAAGGTCAGTCTTCTCCCCATCTTACCCCCCCACCCCGGCCCCGTTTTCTTTCCTGGAGGAAAGTTCAGAGAGGTGACGGCACTTGTGGGCTCAGCAGTGGGCAGAGACCAGGTCAGAATCCAGGGCTGTGGGTCCTTCCTTGTGCCCATCTGCTGCGTCTCACCCTCCCTGGATAGACCCGCGGTGGGAGGGGGAAACAGGGCACTGGCTCTGGGGGCCGGAAGCTGCCCCCCCGCTACCCCCCATGGTCCCAGCTTCCCAGCTGTTCTTCCTATACCAACATTTGGTCTTTACCATCTTATTGTTAGGTTTGAGGTCACACCCAGCAGTGCTCAGGGCTGACTCCTGGCTCTGTGCTCAGGAGTCATTCCTGGCGGTGCTCGGGGGACCCTGTGGGATGCTGGGAATCGAACCCAGGTCGGCCACATGCAAGGCAAACGCCCTACCCGCTGTACTGTTGCTCTGACCTCGTCTTTGCCATCTTCCGCTCCCACCCAGCTGTCCACAGGGGGTCACACTCGTCCTCAGCCTGGTCTGGGCCAGCCTGTCCGCATGTTTCTTCCCCTGGAGCTGCTGAGGGAGCTGCCAGCCCCAGGGGTGATGGAAGGGACCCCCTTAGGCCCGTGTTCCTGGGTCGCTTTGACACCGGGCCTTGTTCCGCTTTCACACAGCAGTTACAACCCAGGCATTACACGGTCGGCCTCTGACCTCTCTCCACCTGCAGACCAGCAGGGGTCCTCAGAGGATGTGCAGAGGACGCATTACTCAGCAGAGTCTGTGCTCAGTAAACGCTCAGGAGCGGGACCCAGTTTAAACAGAAGTATTCGGGCCAGAGCAATAGTACAACAGGGAAGGCATTTGCCTCGCACGTGGCAGACCCTGGTTCGATCGCCAGCATTCCATATGGTCCCCCCAGCACCACCTGGAGGGATCCCTGAGTACAAAATCCAGAAGTAACCCCTGAGCATCATCAGGTGTGGCCCCAAACCGGAAAAAAAATTTGTTTTAAATAGAAAAGCAGAAGTGGTGAGTTGGGAACAGTCTCATGTTTGTGTGTCCCCTTGTGTTTTATACACACGCGCAGTGGCACATCTAGTCTCTCTATCCTTTCTAGAAACATCTCTCACAGATTAGCCCCTTTTCTCCCTTCCTCTGCCTCCCGCTGAACCATCTATTCTCAGAAGCTCCATCTTCTCACTCTCCAGGTCTGTAAGACAGGGGGATTTTGGGGACCAGAGTCAGAGGACAGCAAGTGGGGTGGTTGCCTTGCATGTGGCCCACCCAGAGTTTGATCCCCGGTACCACCTTTGCTCCCCCAAGCCCTCCGAGGAGTGATTTCTCAGCATAGAGCCAGGAGTAACCCCTAAGCATCTCCTAGTGTGGCCCTAAACCCAGACATTTTCAAAGGAACATTTTCAAAGCTGCTGATGCTCCTTCAGACTCAAGTGAGATTGACTGACGGGACGCTGATGCCGAGACCATCATGGGCAGATTCCTGGTCTCCCAGGAACATTTGTAGAGAGCACTTTGCAGAGGGCTGGAGGAGAGGCCTAAGGGGGGGGGGTTGGAGTGGTGTCCTGTCCAGCCTTCCTCCCACTTTTGGAAGTGACCCTGAGTCTGAGTGTTCTCACCTCCAGCTCCAAGATCTGGACATGGTCAGCACCCCAGCCCCAAGGCCTGGACGTGGTCAGCACCTCCAGCCCCAGGCCTGGCTATGGTCAGCACCCCCAGTTTCAGGCCTGGACATGGTCAGCACCCCCAGCCCTAAGAACTGGTTGTGGTCAGCTCCCCACCTCCAGGCCTGGACATGGTCAGCACCCCAGCCCCAAAGCCTGGACATGGTCAGCACCTCCAGCCCCAGGCCTGGATATGGTCAGCACCCCCAGTTTCAGGCCTGGACATGGTCAGCACCCCAGCCCCGATGCCTGGATATGGTCAGCACCCCCAGCCCTAAGGACTGGACGTGGTCAGCACCCCCACCTCTAGGCCTGGACATGGTCAGCGGCACTTTTCTGGGAGAGGCTCTCCAGCTCTGCCAAGCGACGCCACAACTCCAGGAGGTGACGATGACACTGCTCTGTCCCCTGCGTCTAGAAACCTCAGCCTCTGAGGTCAGCACATTCAGCCTCAGTAGCTGAGGAAACTGTGGCTGAGCTGGAGGAAGTGACTGGCAGGCCTCCCGGTGGGTGGGCACGGGGCAGAGACCGCTGGCTGCTTGGATGTTCCTTTTGCTCTCCTGGGTCCTGGGGAGGAGCTGTTAGCACTGCAGGGTGGGTCCTTTGTGGGTTTTGTTGTTGTTGTGGGGACGGGGTGGAGGTTCGAGGTGGTGCTCAGCAGGGCTCACTGCTGGCAGGGCTTGGGAGACCTTATGGGATGCCCCTGGGTCCGCCGCGCGCAAGGCAAATGCCCTCCCTGCTGTGCTGGGAGGCCCTGTGTGGACCCTCCCCTATCGGCAGTTGAACTTGATGTCCAGAGAGGAGAACCCCGGCTGGGTCGGGGCACATGCCAAGCCCACATGCGGCTCCGCATTGGTTCCTCTTTACGTCTGAGTATAATCTCGGGCTCCTAACACCGCCAGACCCTGAGCATTCAGCCCTCCCGGCCTGAGCCCTCTTGAATGCTACCCGGGAGCATCAGCCCCCAACCACCTCCCCCTCACCCCCAAAAAAGAGGAGTGTTCCCATTTCCTGCTTCCACACGCTGCACCAGCTCCTCCACCATGGGGGTTCTGTCTGCCTGGACCTCTGTGCCAGCTGTTGCCTCTGTTAAGAACACACACACACACACACACACACACACATGGGCTGGAGTGATAGCACATACGGGTAGGGCATTTGCCTTGCAGGTGGCTGACCCGGGTTTAATTCCCAGCATCCCATATGGTCCCCTGAGCACCGCCAGGAGTGATTCCTGAGTGCATGAGCCAGAAGTAACCCCTGTGCATCGCCAGATGTGACCGAAAAGAACACACACACACACACATATAAGAATACCTGTTTGTGTTCCACATGAGAGCTGCCTCCTCCAGGAGGCATTGACTCAGGCAGAACCTTCATGTCCCGCCCACCTCCAGGGGTGTGTGTGTGTGTGTGTGTGTGTGTTGGGGAGCAGGGAGGAGGGCCTGTGTGCTGAGCTGAGGCTGTGCACCTCCACAGCCCCAGCACATGATAGGGCATCACTCATGGTGGGAATTAAGAATGACCCCCACCTCCCACCCACCCCGTAGCCCCCTTGTCCTGTCAGGGCCAGCTGCGTTCATTTAGCCCTGGAGGGACGCGGGCTGTGCAGGGGAGAGCCACGAGGCCCGGATGGGAGCAGCTCTCCGCAGGGGGACAGCAGCTAGCAGGGGGCCAGGGGGCCGGTGCCCACCCCGCACCCCCCGCGTGTCCAACCCCCTCCCCCGTCCTGTCGGGGCCAGCTGCCTTCATTTGGCCCTGGAGGGACGCGGGCTGGGCCCGGGAGAGCCACGAGGCCCGGCTGAGAGCAGCTCTCTGCAGGGGGACAGCAGCTAGCAGGGGGCCAGGGGGCCGGTGCCCACCCCGCACCCCGCGTGTCCAACCCCCTCCCCCGTCCTGTCGGGGCCAGCTGCCTTCATTTGGCCCTGGAGGGAGGCGGGCTGGGCCCGGGAGAGCCACGAGGCCCGGCTGGGCGCAGCTCTCCGCAGGGGCCAGCGGCTAGCAGGACGCCAGGGGCCGGTGCCCACCCCGCACCCCGCGTGTCCGACCCCCTCCCCCGTCCTGTCGGGGCCAGCTGCCTTCATTGGCCCTGGGGGGACGCGGGCTGGGCCCGGGAGAGCCACGAGGCCCGGCTGGGCGCAGCTCTCCGCAGGGGGCCAGCGGCTAGCAGGGGCCAGGGGGCCGGCGGCGGCGGCACGTCCAGGCGGGCACGGGGCGCCCAGCGCGCACCCCGCCGCGTGTCCGACCCCGCCCCCCGTCCTGTCGGGGCCAGCTGCCTTCATTTGGCCCTGGAGGGAGGCGGGCTGGGCCCGGGAGAGCCACGAGGCCTGGCTGGAGCAGCTCTCCGCAGGGGCACAGCAGCTAGCAGGGAGCCAGGGGGCCGGTGCCCACCCCGCACCCCGCGTGGTCCAACCCCCTCCCCCGTCCTGTCGGGCCAGCTGCCTTCATTTGGCCCTGGGGGGACGCGGGCTGGGCCCCGGAGAGCCACGAGGCCCGCTGGGAGCAGCTCTCCGCAGGGGGCCAGCGGCTAGCAGGGGGCCAGGGGGCCGGCGTTGGCGGCACCTCCAGGCGGCACGGCGCCCAGCGCGCACCCCGCCGCGTGTCCGACCCCGCCCCCGCCCCTCCCGCCCTCTCTCCGCAGATGTGACCCGTCGTCGCCGTCGCTGAAGCCGCCGAGCCCCCGGCCCAGCATGCGCCTGTCCGCGCGGAGGGCGGCTGCTGGCCGCCGGCTGCGCGCTGGCGCTGGTGCTGGCCGTGCAGCTGGCGCGGCAGGCGCTGGCGTGCCGGGCGGCGCTGGTCGGGCGCGCTGGGGCCGCGGCGGCGCGATGCGGCGGCGAGCAGGAGGACCTGGTGGTGCTGGGCGCCGACCGCGTGGAGTACCGCTACGGCACGGGCATGCCGCTCATCTTCGTGGGCGGCGTGCCCCGCAGCGGCACCACGCTCATGCGGGCCATGCTGGACGCGCACCCCGAGGTGCGCTGCGGCGAGGAGACGCGCATCATCCCGCGCGTGCTGGCCATGCGCCAGGCCTGGTCCAAGTCGGGCCGCGAGATAGCTGCGGCTGGACGAGGCGGGCGTGACGGACGTGGTGCTGGACGCGGCCATGCATGCCTTCATCCTGGAGGTCATCGCCAAGCACGGCGAGCCGGCGCGCGTGCTGTGCAACAAGGACCCCTTCACGCTCAAGTCGTCCGATGTACCTGTCGCGCCTCTTCCCCAACTCAAGTTCCTGCTGATGGTGCGCGACGAGCCCGCGCCTCGGTGCCCTCCATGATCACGCGCAAGGTCACCATCGCGGGGCTTCGACCTCAGCAGCTACCGCGACTGCCTCTCCAAGTGGAACAAGGCCATCGAGGTCATGTACGCGCAGTGCATGGAGGTGGGCCGCGACAAGTGCCTGCCCGTCTACTACGAGCAGCTGGTGCTGCACCCGCACCGCTCGCTGCGCCGCATCCTCGACTTCCTGGGCATCGCCTGGAGCGACACCGTCCTGCACCACGAGGACGCTCATCGGCAAGCCCGGGGGCGTCTCCCTGTCCAAGTGAGTCCGCGGTGCTGCCCCCGGGGTCCGGACGGGCCGGGCCGCGCTGCTCGCTGGCTCCCGGACACCGCTGCGCCCGCCTCGGGTGGAAAAGGGTGGGGAGGGGGCCGGGAGCGCCTGGGGGGGGGGCGGAGTAGGAGGAGGGAGGGGCCTGGCGGAGAGGGGACTGGAGGGGGAGGCGCCTGGGGGAGGGGGCATGGAAGGGGAGGCGCCTGGCAGAGAGGGACTGGAGGGGAGGTGCCTGGGGGAGGGGGCATGGAAGGGGAGGCGCCTGGCAGAGAGGGGACTGGAGGGGAGGCGCCTGGGGAGGGGGCATGGAAGGGAGGTGCCTTGGCAGAGAGGGGACTAGAGGGGAGGGTACCTGGGGGAGGGGGCGGTTGGAGGGGAGGCTGAAGGGGAGGCTCCTGGTGGAGAGGGGACTGGAGGGGAGGTGCCTGGGGGAGGGGGCATGGAAGGGGAGGCGCCTGGCAGAGAGGGGACTGGAGGGGAGGTACCTGGGGAGGGGGCGTGGAAGGAGGTGCCTGGGGAGGCGGAGTAGGAGGAGGGGAGGGGCCTGGCGGAGAGGGACTGGAGGGGAGTACCTGGGGGAGGGGGCGTCGGAGGGGAGGCGCCTGTGAGAGGGGCATTGAGGGGAGGCTGGAGGGGAGGCTCTGGCGGAGAGGGACTGGAGGGAGGTACCTGGGGAGGGGCGTTGGAAGGGAGGCGCTGGGGAGGCGGAGTAGGAGGAGGGGAGGGCCTGGCGGAGAGGGGACTGGAGGGGAGGTGCTGGGGAGGGGGCATGAAGGGAGGCGCCTGGCAGAGAGGGGACTGGAGGGGAGGCGCCTGGGGGAGGGGGCGTTGGAGGGAGGTGCCTGGAGGAGGCGGAGTAGGAGGAGGGAGGGGCCTGGCGGAGAGGGGACTGGAGGGAGGTGCCTGGGGAGGGGGCATGGAAGGGGAGGCGCCTGGCAGAGAGGGGCTGGAGGGAGGCGCCTGGGGGAGGGGGCGTTGGAGGGGAGGTGCCTGGAGGAGGCGGAGTAGGAGGAGGGGAGGGGCCTGGCGGAGAGGGGACTGGAGGGGAGGTGCCTGGGGAGGGGGCATGGAAGGGGAGGCGCCTGGCAGAGAGGGGACTGGAGGGGAGGTGCCTGGGGGAGGGGCATGGAAGGGGAGGCGCCTGGCAGAGAGGGGACTGGAGGGGAGGCGCCTGGGGAGGGGGCATGGAAGGGAGAGGTGCCTGGCAGAGAGGGGACTAGAGGGGAGGTACCTGGGGGAGGGGGCGTTGGAGGGGAGGCTGAAGGGAGGCTCCTGGTGAGAGGGGACTGGAGGGGAGGTGCCTGGGGGAGGGGGGCATGGAAGGGGAGGCGCCTGGCAGAGAGGGGACTGGAGGGGAGGCGCCTGGGGGAGGCGGAGTAGGAGGAGGGGAGGGTCCTGGCGGAGAGGGGACTGAAGGGGAGGTTCCTGGGGAGGGGGCTTTGGAGGGGAGGCTGGAGGGAGGCTCCTGGCAGAGAGGGGACTGGAGGGGAGGTACCTGGGGGAGGGGGCGTTGGAGGGGAGGCTCCTGGTGGAGAGGGGACTGGAGGGGAGGTACCTGGCGGAGGGGGCTTTGGAGGGGAGGCGCCTGGGGGAGGTGGAGTAGGAGGAGGGGAGGGGCCTGGCGGAGAGGGGACTGGAGGGGAGGTTCCTGGGGGAGGGGGCGTTGGAGGGGAGGCGCCTGGGGGAGGTGGAGTAGGAGGAGGGGAGGGGCCTGACGGAGAGGGGACTGGAGGGGAGGGACCTGGGGGAGGGGGCATTGGCGCCTGGGGGAGGCGCTTCTTCTGTTTAGTCACCTGGTTCGAGCGCCCAGCAGTGGCCAAGGAAGATTGCAGGGCTGGGAGATAAGGGGTAGGGGCCCCTGAGTCCGATCTGCGGCGCCGCACACTCTTGAATACCACTGGATTTGCTCCCAGTGCTCCCTGAGCACTGAGGCTGTCAGGTCCTGCTCCTGGGCTGAGCATCCAAATGTGTGTGTGTGTGTGTTGGGGGGGGGGGGCACCACCAGCACAGGGTGCAGGGCAGGGAGTCGCTCAGGGGCCGGGCATGCTTGAGTGTCCAAGGCCCGAGTTGGAGCCCGTTATTACTGAGCAGTACCACCTGGTGGGCTCAGAGCTCTAGGCCATTTGGCCTGTTGGTCACACAGCACTGGCTTGATCTTGGGGTCCTCTGAACACTACTTGGAAACCCCCAAAAAACTGGGTATCATCCAGGAATGTTGCTGTGCGTGTGTGAAGCCTGGGTTTGATCCCCCAACACCCCTCCCTGGCCCCCCACAAATATCTGCGAACCAGTACCTTCGCTTGTTGTAAAAGCTGTAAGGTTGGGGACCGGAGCGATAGTCCAGCGGATAAGGCGCTTGCCTTGCACACGGCCAACCTGGGTTCGGTCCCCTTCATCCCATATGGTTCCCCGAGCACTGCCAGGAGTGATTTCCAGAGCACAGAGCCAGGAATAAGTCCTGAGCACCCCTGGGTGTGACCCCAAGACAAACAAAACAAAAGAGATAAGGAAAAGCCTCAGGATCATGGTTTTCCTTTATGTCCTTGAGTGTGTGGGGGGACAGTTGGGGGGACCTTACAATGTACCTTACACGCGACGGTCCCCGCCACGCACCCCGCCAGGACGGCCTGGTGAAGGTGGCGTTCTGGTGTCCCCGTGGGGAAGTGAGGCTCGGGGAGGGAAAGCTGCTGTCCTGAGGCCACTGCCTCGAGTGGGACGAGCTGGCCCTCGCCCCAGCGGTCAGCGCTTGGCTCTTCAACCCCGCCTCCCCACCTCTAAAGGCCCCCCTGCACTGGGAGGGAAAGAACCGGATGGTTCTGGGCTTGGGGCTGGTGGGGTCTGTGGTGACCCCTGGAACCTGCCGACCTTCCCATGAGCGTTTTCTCGTCATTCAATATATAGCATTGCCGTCTTTGTCACCTGTAAAGGCAGAAAAAGTTCTTTTGCACAAGCTGGAGACATCCGGGAAAGCAGAGTTTAAGTGCTCCTCCTCCTGCCCTTGTCCCCATTGTACAGAGGAGGTAGGAGAAGGCTGTGCGGCACACCTGTGGTCTCGCTGTCGAGGGGGTCTCAGGTGGCCCTGGGTCAGACGCCCCCCAGCCCATCCGGCTGTCCCCGGCAGACGGATGGGGACAGAGGTGGGTCCTGTCCAGGGGCCCCTCCAGCCTGTCCTCTCTTCCCCAGGATCGAGCGCTCCACGGACCAGGTCATCAAGCCCGTGAACCTGGAAGCTCTGTCCAAGTGGACCGGCCACATCCCCGGGGACGTGGTGAGGGACATGGCCCAGATCGCCCCCATGCTGGCTCGGCTCGGCTACGACCCCTATGCAAACCCCCCCAACTACGGCAACCCCGACCCCATCGTGGTCAACAATACACACCGGGTGAGTGTCCTGAGCGTGCCCAGCCCTGCACGCCACCGCCCGTGGAACCCCCAGAGGCCCAGTTCCCCAGACGCCGCGCCGCCAGTGCTTGCGGTGTACGTGCTGGACGGACGGGAGGACCGCGACCGGGTCACTGTGGCCGGGCCACAGGGAGGCAGCTTGCCAGCTGGTCGCCTGTGTCTGCATGTGCAAGGCCCTGGGCTGAGACACGCCCATGCATTCACGTGCACACATACACACGCACACACACGTATAAGAGCACACACGCACACATGTGTAACACAAACACACGCACAAACTTGTACACACGTGTACATGTATGCACACATGTATGTACACATACATATAGACTTACGCATGCGCACATGTACGTATGCTTTGCACACACATGCACACACATTGCACACATACAAACATATACACGTACATACACACTGTCGACCCGTACTTGTGGCATGTCACGTGTGTTTTTTGTTTTCCAAGCTAACTGCAGGGCTGCTTTTGCTCCAAGTCTGTCCAAGGTCTCAACTCTGCCCTCCCACCCCATTCCCGGGCTGTTTGTGTTTCGTATGCCCTGGGGACTCGGCATTAATAAATAATCAGCCCCTTTATTGTCCCCGTGGGATGGAGTCTTGATTTGCACGAATATGAGCTAGGGCAATTTAAATTCCTTCTGTGGGAGATTGGGGGCCTCCCAGGCCAGTGCTCCGGGGATCCAGACAGCTCTGCAGCAGTGCTCTGCTACCCTGGCCCATGGTTTAGGCGAGGGTCCGCGGACATGGTACTGTTCCATCCCAGGGTACTGGGGACCACCAGGACCAATAGACTCAGCAGTTTGGGGCCGCGTGTGGAGCCAGGGTTCAAACTTGGGTTCAAGCATTCTCCTTGGCCTGTGCAGTTCCTTTGCCCAGTGTTCTCCATCATGATGGTCAGGGGAATGCCTTTGGCCTGCACCCCGGTAAAAAATGCAGCTGGGGGACCCGGACACAGTACACGGGCCAGGGCACTTGCCTTGCCCTCCTCCAACCCGGGTTTGAGCCCTGGTACCCCCAAGCCTCACCAGGAATGATCCCTGAGCACAAAGCCAGGAGTAAGGCCTGAACACAGTTGGGTGTGCACCCCCCGCCCCCAAATAAAACAAAACCAAAGTAGGCAGCCGGGAGGCTCGTGGTTCTGCCTCGTGTAGATGGCCCTGGGCTGCCAAGCTCTGGGTGCTCTGTCGGGGTTTCGGGCGCTAAGTTGGTGGAGCCCTGACAGACCCTCCCAGCTGTTACATCACTCGGCCTTGCTCTGAGGAAGTGACTCCAGTCTTCAGCACTGAGAGAAGGTCCTTCCTCTCCTCCTCCTCCTCCTCTGGCTCTTGCATTGACTCGCAGAGAAAGAGGTTTGGGGCCACCAGGCTGTGGGCACCTCACCTCTCCCGCGCTTGCCACCTATCTCTTTAGTCCCTCATCTGTTTGGGGGGCAGCACCCAGTGGAGCTTGGGGCTCTGCCTGCACAGCTGCGCCCCAGCCTTTGGTGCCGTCTCAACTGCCCGCCTCTCATTCTGACAGAGAGAGCTGACCGGTCTCTTCTCCTTAAACTCAGGCGCCCTCAGTTCATTTTATCCACATTTTGTTTGAGAAGACACACACACACACACACACATGCACACACATGCACACGCGCGCGCGCGCACACACACACACACATACACACACCCCACAGATTTGGGGGCCAGAGCGATCATATGGCCAGTAGTGTGCTTGCCTTGCATAAGCTAACCTGGGTTTGGTCCCCTGAGCTCACCAGGAGTGCTCCCTGAGCGCAGAGCCATGGGTCACCACCAGGTGTGGCCCCCAGACAGCCAGCAAACACACCTCAGAGATTCAGTGTAGATCTTTCAACTACATGGGCCGTTGGCCACCTAGGTGTGTTTTAGTGTTTTCTTGGTTCGTTATAAGTCCCGTGATCGATCACTGTTAGTTCCTAATAGCTTTACTCCACCTTGTGTGTGTGTGTGTGTGTGTTGTATGTGCTTTCTGGAGACATACGCCATATTTCACAGGACAAACTTAGCTGGAGCTGAGGAGGGGCTTGAGTGGCAAAGGACACGCCTTCCGTGCGGGCCCCGGGTTCCATCCCAGCACCACATGGGAAACTGGAGGGGGAACAGAATGAACTGGATTGGGAAGAAGCCGGTCGGACTCGTGAAATGTGGTCACTGAGCCTTCCCAGGGTCTGTGGTGGGCTGGCCCGAGGCAGTGCCTGCCGGTGTCCTGCTTCTCACTTCCTTAGCCGGCTTCTGGCAGCTGCTTCTCTGGGGTCTCTTTAAAGGGTAGAAGGAGGCCAAAGAGATCGCACCAGGAGTTAGGGGCTCTCCTTTCACACGACTGACTTCAGTTCAAACCCCAGCACCACACGGGCCCCGAGCACTGAGCTGGGAGTAGCCCCTGAACACTGCCAGGTCTGGCTCTAAACCTCCTCTGATTCCCCCAGAGTATAATATATGTTATAATACATAAAGGTAAAAGGTAAAGGCCCTCCCGTTGATCGTCGATTTGCTCGAGCGGGCCCAGTAACGTCTCCATTGGAGACTTTGTTGTTACTGTGTCTGGCATATCGAATACTCTCGGTAGCTTGCCGGGCTCTCCGAGAGGGGCGGAGGAGTTATAATACATAATATATATTTATGTTATAAATATGTATGGGCTGGAGCGATAGCACAGCGGTAGGGCAATTGCCTTGCCTTGCGCGCAGCCAGCCCGGTCGAGCCGGGTTCGATTCCTCCGCCCCTCTCAGAGAGCCCGGCAAGCTACCCAGAGTATCTCGCCCGCACGGCAAAGCCTGGCAAGCTCCCCGTGACGTATTCGATAAGCCAGACACAGTAACAAGAAGTCTCAAAACGGAGATGATACTGGGCCCGCTCGAGCAAATCCACGAACAACGGGAGGACAGTGACAGTGATAAATACGTTTAGATGAGCATTAAAGAGCACTGCAGGTGCCGGCTTTGATCCCTGGCACCCCATAGGGTCTCCTGAGCCTCGCCATGAGCAGTGCTCGAGCACAGAGCCAGGAGTCAGCTCTGAGTGACGAAGGCGATTTTAGAAAGTGATTCCATAGCTCGAGCCAATCAGAAGGGAGATTCGCAGGTGCCGACGGGCTCTGTGAGCTCTGATCTGTGCGGGAGATGCAGGATGTTGCCACGTTTTCCCAAGACTGTTTTCCCCGGGGGCCGCAGGCTTGGCTGGTGCCAGGCTTTCGTGCAGCCTGTGCAGGAGCAATCTTTGTTATTTACTGACAGTCTCTGTTGTTCTTGTAAGGTAAGGCCCTGTCTTGAAAGATGTGAGCGTGTATGTGTGTGTGTGTGTGTGTGCGTGTGTGTGCGTGTGCGCGCACGCGCGCATGCTCTAGACAGTTCCTGTCAATTACCCTGGGAAGCAAGACACAGAGACTGACAAGACCCAGGACGAATGAGTTTGTCTTTGCTGGTGCTGTCCAGATCCAGCCAACTAGCCTGACTAGCCCCTGAAATGCAGCTTGTCCAGTTGGGAAGATGGTATAGGCAGAAGACACACAGCAGACTTCGGGGGCAGCAACACTGTAGCACAATCCTCCCATTACTCCAGCGGGCACCAGTAACATCTCCATTGTGAGACTTGTTGTTACTGTGTTTGGCATATTGAATACGCCACGGGGAGCTTGCCAGGCTTTGCCCTGCAGGCGGGATACTCTCGGTAGCTTGCCAGGCTCTCCAAAAGGGGCGGAGGAATCGAACTCGGGTCGGCCACGTGCAAGGCAAATGCTCTACCCACTGTGCTATCACTCCAGCCCTTTGGGGTGCAGAAGTATGTGCAATTCTCAGTCAGTTTTACATTGTTTGTATGGATTTGACTTTTTGTTTATTTGTTTGAGGTCCACTCCCGGCAGCGTTTCAGGGCTTATTCCTGACTCTGCAGTCAGAGATCACTCTGGCAGGCTCCGGGGACCATACTGGGTTGAGCTTAGGTCAGCCACATACAAATCAAGCAACCCCCTCACTGTACTCCCTTTTGTGAAGTGGAAACATTTTATTTTATTTGCTTTTTGGGCCATACCCAGTGATGCTCAGGGATTATTCATGGCTCTGCACTAGGATATTAGTCCTGGCGGTGCTTGAGGGACCATATGGGGATACCAGGGATCGAACCAAGGTCGGCCCAAGGTCGGCCCCAGGTTGACTGCATACAAGGCAAACACCCGACCTGCTGTACTGTTGCTCCTGGCCTATGTAGTAACATCTTAATGTCTGGATATGGATAACTACAAACTACTAATAATAGGGCTGGAGTGATAGCACAGCGGGTAGGGCATTCGCCTTACAAGCGGCCAACATGGCTGACCCGAGTTCGATTCCTCGGCCCCTCTCGGAGAGCCCGGCAAGCTACCGAGAGTATTCGATATGCCAGACACAGTTACAACAAAGTCTCCAATGGAGACGTTACTGGGCCTGCTCGAGCAAATCGACAGTCAACGGGAGGGCCTTTACCTTTTTACCTTTACCTTACTAATAATATTCCTGTTACAGTCTTATTTATGTGGTTACTGCAAGAACTTTCTATTTTTCTACTGGACAGTGACTGTCTGTTGTGTGACCTGGGAAGAGACCTGGAACTTTCTGGTTCCCGCTGGAGGCTCTTTGTCCCCACTGGGTCTCCTGCCTGGAGCACCTTCCCATGAGAACTGAGTCTGCCTGGTTTTCCTTGCCATTGACGTCTCAGCTGCGAGAGAGCCTATTCCAAGAGGCCCTTCTTGATCGCCCATTCAAAAACGCCCCCCCCCCCCGCCCATTATTCCTAATCAGACCCCTTCATTTCATTTCTTCACAGCCTTTGACAAGCCCTTGTTTCTTTGTGTTTCTTGGTACCTGTGTTTTGTCCGGAACCCCCAAAGCATCGGAACTCCAGGGCAGTAGGGATTCTATTTCCTGATCCACATGCCCATATTCTCTCTTGCAAGAAATGTTGTTAAACATGGGTTTAAATGCTTCTTAAGGGGCTGGAGCAATAGCACAGTGGGTAGGGCGTTTGCCTTGCGCGCGGCCGACCCGGGTTCGATCCCCAGCATCCCCTAGGGTCCCCGAGCACCGCCAGGAGTGATTCCTGAGTGCAGAGCCAGAAATAACCCCTGTGCATTGCCGGGTGTGACCCCAAAAGAAAAAAAACTATCTCACTTCACACACACACACATATACACACACACACGCACGCACACACACACACACACCCCTCCATAGCTTAGGATATTTCTGGGGAATCTAAGAACTCAGTAAACATTGGAGGCGGAGGGCAGAGAGCAAATCCTCGGAGGCCATGAGCTGAGTGCATCACGCCACTCACGCCACTCTCTCACCTGTCCCTTGGGAACGTCTGATCAGACTAGGGCCATTAGTGACCCTCACAGGGCCCTCTCCGAGCTCGAGGAGGTGAATTCCCAGAGCACTGGGCTCTCGGCGATTGCAGACTGGGCAGGAGATGCTGCGGACCCCTCCCCCCAGCGCAAGTCCTGGTAGAAGCCTCCTTAGCCAGAGCTTGGAGCAGACTCACGGCCAGTGAAGTGAGTTCAGTGGCTGAGGTGAGGCACCCCTAAGAGGTCTCAGAACCCAGTTCAGAATACTCCGCCTTCTGGGGGCTGGAACGATAGCACAGCGGGTAGGGCTTTTGCCTTGCACGTGGCCGACCTGGGTTCGATTCCCAGCATCCCATAGGGTCCCCCAAGCACGGCTAGGAGTGATTCCTGAGTGCAGAGCCAGGAGTAACCCCTGAGCATCTGCTAGGTGTGACCCAAAAAGCAAAAATAATAATAATAATAATAATAAAATGCTTCTTACGCTTCTTAAACCCCTGGCGCTAGCTTGTCTCTCTGTCTCTCTGTTTTTCCCTCTCCAGAGAAGCCCCAGTTCTCTCTTGAACATATGTTTCCTCTTCCTCTGCCCTCATGTCTTTCTAAGTAAAATCTAGTCAATAAAAACTATCTCGCTTTGGGGCTGGGGCAACAGCACAGCGGGTAGGGCGTTTGCCTTGCACGTGGCCAACCCGGGTTCGATTCCCAGCATCCCATATGGTCCCCTGAGCACCGCCAGGAGTAACTCCTGAGTGCAGAGCCAGGAGTAACCCCAGTGCATCGCCAGGTGTGACCCAAAAAGAAAAAAAAAACAATATTCTGCCTTTGCCCTCTTAAAAAAATCATAAATCAATGCCAAATGGGTGGGCGATGGTGGATGGATGATGGATGGACAGATTCGGGGCTGAATGAATGGAGGGAGGGTTGGGTGTGTGCAGGTGGTGACATCGATTTTTATCTTTTCATCATTGCCAGAGAGTGATCTGTTCTTTCCTCTTTTCTAGGTCTTGAAAGGGGACTACAAAACACCAGCCAATCTGAAAGGATATTTTCAGGTTAGAAACCCTGGAGGGAATTCTGGGTGCTACTTGTCTAGCTGTCTGCGAGCTTTTCATAGCCCTTGGACCCGTCCCTTTTCTGAGATGACTGATGGTTTTCCCATTGGGGGGCTGGGAGGGAGAGATTTTCGGAAGCAACAGGCAATATCCTGCTTAGTTTATTTGGTTTAGGCTTTAGGGGTCCCATGCTGCGATACTTAGAGGCTACTCCTGGCTCAGTGCTCAGGAGTGAGCCCTGGTGGCGTTCAGGGGACCACCTACATGCCTTGTCGGGGATCCAGCCAGGGTCGACCGCATACAGGGCACGCGCTTTACCCATCTCCTCTCCAGCGCTCAGTGATTTGTGTTTTTCATTTTGTCTGTTTTGTTTTGTTTTGGGATGGGCCACACCCGGCTGTGCTCCAGGCTGACTCCTTGCTCTGTGCTCAGGGGTCACTCCTGGCGGACTCGGGACCGTGTGGGGTAACTGAGGATGGAACCCGGGTGCGCCTCACCGCTACACTGTCCAGTCACTCTGACCCCTCCTCCGTGGTTTTGTTTTCTATCACACCATGGCTGCAGTGTGTTTACAGCTGTGGGCGCCTCTCCCAAACACCCCGCTTTTGCCTCTTACTTTCCCCGGAGATGCCGCCTATGGGTGTCCAGGATCAAACCTGCCATGCGTGTGCTCCCCGCGCTGAGCCACGTCTTGGTCCCAACCCCCGCAAGCAGCCCAGATAGCGTCTCTCATAGCTCTCGTGGCCTGGAAGGGGCATCACACGGGTTTGTTGGGCAGCTGCTCCCCGCCGGGGATGTTGCTGGTGTCCCAGCACTGAGCTGGATTACATAGTAGGTGTTGAGGGAATATTCAGCGGGTGAGTGCCGGGCGGTGGGAGCCTAGCCCCCAGCCAGCTGTGACCTCTGACTTATGTTGTCTTTCCACAGGGGAACCAGAACAGCACCTCTCCTCACCTCGGAAGCTCGTGATTTCCAGGTACGCCTGCAGGGGGACCCAGACACCCCTGGGGAGGAGTGAGTGTCCACCAAGGGCAGCTAGCCCAGCTCTGCGCGCACACACACACACACACACACACACACACACACACACACACACCATTTTCATAGTAATGGGCCTGAGAGCTAATGATAGAATCAGGGCTTCTGTGGAAAGTTCTGGATCAGGGTTGGGGGCAGTGACCATGCTGAATCAGCTCGAGAAACGCTTATTGACATTTGGAGGAAAGTCGTAGCAGAGTGATGGAGAGATTACAACGCTTCTTTTATTTTTTTTTTTCGGGGGTTAGGGGGTTATACCCTGGGATGCTCAGGGGTTCCTCCTGGCTCTGCACTCAGGAATGACTCCAGTTGGTGCTCGGGGGACCATATGGGTTGCCAGGGATGGAACCTTGGGTTGGCTGCATGCAAGGCACGCGCCCTCCCCAGACCTCCCCCAAAGCAGAATGCTGTCCGCCCTTCTGGCTTCTTTCAGCTGCGTCAGGTTGTGCCCAAAGTCGTGGACGTCCTAGTACTAGCCCAGCAGCTCCAGTTCAAGAATGACCCCCATGGCACTGGGCCAAGTGCCCCTCATGTGTTACTCATTTAACTCCTCCCCCTTTCCTGGACCCATTTTATAGGCTGGGAAACAAAGGCCCCGAAGAGAATTTTGACTTCCTCAATGCCACAGAGCCAAGGGTAGAATTCCACCCTCCCCACCCCAAGCTGTTTGCTTTCCAGAAACGATTTAAAGTACCTTCATAGCCAACTTGGTCAGCTACAGGGTAACGATGACCCGGGTTCTGGACTCAGGAAGTCAAAGATCCAAGAACTCAGCTTTTAGTTTATTTTCCACATCTGGAGAATGGGGGTCGATCAGTGAGCTGGTGGGGGTGCTGGGGCTCCTTTGGGTGGGTCCCACGGGTCACTTGGCTGACTCGGCAGAGGAATCAGCCCGCGGGCGTGCGTTTCTCCCCTTGCTTTCAGGCTGGGAAAGAGCGGGCACTCCAGAGTCTAGTTTGAGTCCCGCCTTCATGCAAGCATCAGCCACTCCATCTTGCTCCTCATCTGAGTCCTTCTCGCCTCTCATCCCCCCGGGCCTTGGCCGTGTCTCCTAAGCCTGAGGGATAGATGTTCTCTTGCCTTGTGTGTGAGATGTGAAAGCAGGTCCAGTAATGGGTGGGCAGAGGTAGGGAAGAGCAAAGCACAGCCACCTTGAGGAGGCGTGCAGACCCCCAAGGTGTCTCCCCCAAGTTATATTCCAAAGCTTGTCAACGCCCAGACACCCTCTCCCCACCCGACTGATGAACTTGTGGGACCAGCCCCTCTTCCCTTCTCTCCTGACCCCCCACTGTCCATTTCCGCTGGCTTAATTTTCCCAGCCCTCTGGAACACCCGAGCCCCAGCAGGAGAGCACGATGGGGTGTTTGGGCCGAGGCACTGCATCTTCTCAAGATTCTGGCAACCTGAATAAAACTGTTCCCCCTCTGCCCCGTTGGCCTTTGTCTTTGGAGTAATCGGCCGCCTGGAAGTGAGCACCCCCGATTTGAGGTTCGGTCACCTTCTTAGGATTTTTTTTTTCTTTAAGTTTTTCTTCAAATCCTCTTCTGCACCAGTCTGCAAGGCCCGACAACACACAGAGCCTCTGTCCAAACATGGAATTGTCCCAAGATCCTGAGTTTGTAGAGTCCCAAGGGAGAGCCCTTGCATGGAAAACTGTTCCTCCCAAACCCTGTTCCCCTCAGTCTTGGTACAGGTTCATTGGTAGGATCTGGAACCTTCTCGTTGACAGATGGCAGCTGTAGCCCCTGCCCTCCTCTTCAAACACAGTGCCATGCGCCGGGACTGTCTAACTCGTCCCTGCTGTACAGTGGGACCCTTCCTGGCCCCCAGAAGATGCCTTCATGGGCGTCCCTCACATCTCCCATGCTATTGGCTCTTCATAAGTGAAGAAAGTGTCCCTTTGAGGTATGGCCGGTAGCGGTTGAGAGGCAGATCCAGGCCCACAACCTCAGCTGTTTTGATTTAGATTCTCACTGACCATCTGAGGTGCAGAGAGGGAACCTAGCGGGCTTTGGGGAAGACACAGTGACTTGAGCAATAGCAACACTCTTGCAGAATCTTGTCCAGAGCCTTAACACTGTCTCCCCACCTCACAGATCTCTGCAAACGGCTTGGTCGCCAAGAGAAGAAGAGACTTTGCATTCGAGTGGAAATCGGACCTCTAATCCAAGCATATTGCTTGCTCTTAACTGCTGCAACGGAACTGTTCCCGGGGAATGCCTTTGCATCTGTTTGCAAAAGTTGATCCGCTGGAAGACTGACCCCGGAAACACTCTTCTCAAGGGAACTGAACTGAAGAGTGTGCAACGGAGTCGGGCTTCGGCAAGATTGGTATTTTCTATTTTTTTCCTCCCCCGGAAGAACTTTTTTTTTTTTTTTTTTTTTTAAGAAACATATTTGTCGTCCGTCCTTCGTTTGCAGGACTGCCCAGGGGACCTTGTTGGCTGGGGCAAGGCTGCAAAGCCTGATGCCTCTGCTGCTGACCCTGACTTTGAATTCAAAGAGATCTATTTAAGAGTTTAATATATGAGGCTTTCTTTGATTCTTCCTCAGTTCGACTCAGTTGCACAGAGGGGAGAAAAAAAAATGATTTGAATAAAGTGAAAAGGGGCTCACTCGTCTGGACCTTCCTTGATGGAACGAATAGGTTATCTTTTCCCTGTGGGATGTGGCTGGGGGGGGTGAGGGGGAGTGCATGTGGGATGCATACATTGGAAGGACATGCATGTCGGGACTCAGCTCAGCCTCGGGGCCCCATGGCCATCTCCGGGCCCGGGGTTTGCTTGAAGACTCAAAGAACTCAAAAAGGCCATCCCTCTCTGGTTGAGGCTTTCTTTAATTCTCCCTCAGCCAATGGATATGGAGTGAACTCAGCCAGGGGGGGGCAGAGAAGATAGTACAGGGGTTAGGACTCAGGGCTTGTGTGTGGTGACCCCAGTTTCACCTCTGGACCCACCTCATGGCCCCCTGAGCACTGCCGGGGTCACCTCCAAATCAAATAATAATTAAATAGAAATTTTTGGTTTGGGGCCATACCTGCTGATGCTTAGGGATACTCTTGGCTCTACACTCAGAGATTATTCCTGGCAGGCTCGGGAACCATATGGGATCCTGGGGAACCAAACCCAGGTTCGCCACATTAAAAGTAAGCACCATAGAAATGTTTGGCCAGAGCAATAGTACAACGGGTAGGGCGTTTGCCTTGCACGCAGCTGACCTGGGTTCGATCCCCAGCATCCTATATGGTCCCCCGAGAACTGCCAGGAGTGATTCTTGAGTACAGAGCCAGGAGTAAACCCTGAGCATCAATGGGTGTGACCCAAAAAACAAAATAAAAGCAGTAATAATAATAATATATAAATATTCTGGGGCTTGGGGTCGGGGGAAAGCGGGCAGTGGTGCCTGGTGTGTAGTGAGCCCATGGGGCCAAGCCGTGTCACTCTCATGGTCCATGAACTGCAGTGGGACATGGTCAGTCTCCCTGAGTCCACTCAGCCTTCATTTGTCCATCCCTCCCTCTGTGTCCATATGGGACCACACCCAGTGGTGCTCAGGGCTTAACCCCTGGCAGGGCCTGGCGGACCATATGGGGTGCCAGGATCAAGCTCCGGTCAGGTGCACGTGAGGCTAGCAGGCTGTCTGTGGTCCTGCAGCTCCCGTCCCTCTCTGTGCATCTGCTGTGGCCTCTGTGTCCCCTCCCTGCGGCTACCTTTCCGTCTGGGTCCAGGAGCGGATACCCTTGGTTCTATGCAAGGCCCATCCAGAAAGACCCTGGATGTTCACAGCCAGCCCTGGTGGTGGAAAGGCAAGTTGGGGGTGGGGTGGGGGACATAACAGAGAAGGGAGACTAGGGGGACATTGCAGAGGACACATTTGGGGCTGGGGTCCCAGCAGTGGGAAGAACACTTAATCCCTGAAACCTCAGTCGCAGAATCCACTCCTGTTTCTTCTTCCCTGGTACAGCCTGACTGTTTGCAGGTGGAAAGACAGAAGCTGAAGAGGTCACACAGGGGTGAGGGCATTTGCCTTACATGCGGATGACCTGGGTTCCATCCCTGCACCCCCTAGAGTCCCTCGAGCACCACCGGGATCTTTCAGCTCAAAGCCAGGAGTAAGCCCTGACCACCACTGAGTGTGGCCCCCAAACTAAAGACAAAACCCGAGGGACCATAGACGCTATATTGGGGGTTTCCACCCCCTGTGGCAGTCAGAGAACCAGGCGGTGCAAGGGACCGAGCTCTCAGCAATTAATTCCGTTCAGGCGAGTGCCCCGGCCCCAGAGGCCATCTCTCCTGCTCCCCAAGTGGCCTCTTCTAATTTTTTTGGCTTTTTTTGGGGGGGTCACACCCAGCGATGCACAGGGGTCACTCCTGGTTCTGCACTCAGGAATTACTCCTGGCGGTGTTCAGAGGACTATATGAAATTCTGGGAATCGAAACCAGGTTGGCCATGTGCAAGGCAAATGCCCTACCCGCTGTGCTATCACTCCAGCCCTGGCTTCTTCCTATTTAAGTCTTTCACTAGTCACGGGGAGACCTGGTTGTGCTTTGTTGTTTGCAGCTGGTGTTTCAAATGTCAGGATGAGGGGTTGGAGTGGTAATCCAGCAGTGAAGACCCTGTCTTGCACATAACCAACCCGGTTTGATGCCCGACATCCCATAGGGTCCCCTGAGCACTGCCAGGAGTAATTCCTGAGTGCAGAGGCAGAAGTAACCCCTGAGCATTGCCGGGTGTGATCCAAAAAAGCAAAAATAAATACATAGAAGATGATTCACTTTTTCTTGGGAATAATTTCTTGGGACTATGAGGTTTCAGAAGTCCAGTAAGGGTCCAGACATCTTTCCTGTAGCTTCTCCCAGTGTGGACCTTTTTTTTTTTAAGGGGTGTTTTGGGATTAGCAAGACTACAGCAGCGTTTAGGCAGCCAAGTGGTGCCAGGACTCAAACTCAGGGCCTCACCCATGCTAGGCATGTGCTCTACACGTGAGCTGTCTCCCTGGCTCCACGCTAAAGGACTGTTGGGTAGTGGCAAATTCCAGAAACTGATATGAGTAGCACACTGTTGATTACAGGTGTGAAATTAGTATGGATGATCCACTGATCTGAGCATTAGACTCAAACCTTACTCCTTTTTGGGGGGATGGGGCACATGCAGCGGTGCTCAGGGTTTACTCCTGGCTCTGTGCTCAAGGATCATTCCTAATGGACCTTCAGGGACCCTATGGGATGCTGGAGGTCAAACCTGGGTCAGTCACATGTGAGACAAGTGCCCTACCTGCAGTGCTATCTCTCCAGCCCATCTTTTTCAGTTCTTAGTAATAGTTTGTGTGTGTGTGTGTGTGTGTGTGTGTGTGTGTGTGTGTGCTGTCTACTTTGATTTGGTTTTGATTCGGAGCTACCCCCAGTGTGACTCCTTTTTTTAAATTTATTTATTTATTTATGGAATCACTGTGGGAAAAGTTACAAAGCTTTCAGGTTTAAGTCTCGGTCATGCAAATATTAAACATGTTTCCCTTTACCAATACTTATTTTTCACCACGAAGAACCCCAATAACCCCCCACCCCAACCCTCCCAGTGCCTGTGAGGCAGATAAATTCTAGTTAACACTCTATCTACTTTGATTAGATTCGTTGTTTCGACAAAAGATGCACCATTATTATTTAGAGTTTACACCCCCAAATCAGACATGCTAAAAAGGCATTGTGAAATAATTTGTTTTCTACAGCTGGTCACAAGAATCAAATAATTTTGGATTTCTGTTATTTTACTTATTAAGCCTGGAAATATTTCTGCTGAGAATCAGATAATTATGAGATTGGTTTCTGTGCTCTGGAGCCATGGCCGTGCCGGAGAGCCGCTTGTGGGGGGCAACTCCTGACCTCAGTAGGGTATGAAGGACTAGCTGGGAACTCCTCCCTTTCCATGAGGTTTCAGTCGCCCCATCACGACCGGCTCATACCTGGCTTTCCATAAAGCTCCGAAGTGGCTGCCATCCTTCTTTCCAGAGGGAAAAAGGCAGAAGGTAGCAACACCCTTTCCCCTTTGGGCAGGCATGGTGGTGTGGACTAACGCATAGTCCATTCACTTTTCTGCTGCAAGAGTGCGACTCCTTTTAATGGCCAAACCTTCCATACTGCCATCCCCCCACCCCTCCACACACAAAGCCATGAGTCAAAAGCTTACTCTCAAAATCATGAAAATTTCAAAGACCCCCAAGCTCCCCGTCTTTCCTTTGAAGAGCTGTTCCATCATCAAGGCTTTGCATTGATTTGCTTGGGGTTTCGATTCACGAGGCTGGAACATCACCCCCGGGAATATTACATCCATTTGCCCATCATTGATCCCCGTATCATGCCCCTCACCTCCTGTGGCCTGGGAGCCGGCTTCCAAGATGATCTGGCTCTTTCTTGAACCCCCTTTGCATTCCCTGCTGAGTAGGGCTGGGGCCTCAGCGCACTGTGGTTGACTGGTTAAAGCTGCAGTTTCCTTTTGTCTTGCTTTGGGGTCACGCCCGGCAGTGCTCAGGGGTTATTCCCGACTCCGAGCTCAGGAATTAACTCCTGGTGGGGCACAGGGGACCCTATGGGATGCTGGGAATGGAACCTGAGTCAGCCGTGTGTAAGACAAGTGCCCCTACCCTCTGTACCACTGCTCTGGCCCCTAAAGCTGCCTCTTTTAGCTAAAACAGCAAAACATTTGTTTCAGGGGCTGGAACGATAGTCCAGCAGGGAGGGTGTTTGCCTTGCAGGCGGCCCACTCAGGTTCGATCTCCAGCATCCTATATGGTCCCCCAAGCACCACCAGGAGTAATTCCTGAGTGCGGAGCCAGGAGTAACCCCTGAGCATTGCCAGATATGGCCCCAAACACAAAAAAGGAGGAAGGGGGGGGGGAGGCGGTGGGGCGGGACTTCTGGCAAAATGCAGTGCTAGTCAGCTAGCCCTGTGAGGGAAACAGCTGGAAATTGGTCATCCAACCTCTCGGGCCCTCAGCTGACCGCAATCTTAGCTGATATTGAAGAGATTCCTTCCAAGGACCATTGGGGGGGAGGGGGGACAAAGTAGCATGCTTTGAGCAGTGGAAGAGCACTGTTTATTTCAGTGGTGGACCTAGTTGAGCTCATGCTCCAAAGACTGGGGCCCAAAACAAAAAACAAACAAAAAAAACAACAAAGAATTGGGGCTGGAGCAAATGCACAGGGGGTAGGGCGTTTGCCTTGCACAAGACCAGCCTGGGTTCGATTCCCAGCATCCCATATGGTCCCCTGAGCACAGCCAGGAGTAATTCCTTAGTACAGAGGAAAGACTAACCCCTGGGCATTGCCAGATGTGACCCAAAAAGCAAAACAACAACAACAACGACAATAAAAAGAAACAAAGACTG